TGTGCGCGTGCGCGCGCGTGTATGTGCGCAAGTGTGTGCGTGTGTGTGCGCATGTGTGTGTGTGCGAGCGTTTGTTATGTGAAACGTAATAACTCTGTGTCCTTAGACGGCTGAACGAGTGCCCTTTGTGGTCAGACGGTCAGTGCGCCGCCCCTGTCTACCTTCTATACGCGACCTGTGATTCGGTAACTTTATCCTTTAATAACTCAAAAAGTAAGCGTCGGATAAAATTTTCGTAGAGGAAAAATCGTCTCAGAATTCAGTCAGGAACACGTCTTTGCAAGGACACGGGGTTATTCTGAATCACCCTGTATATAAACTACATGTACCTAAAACGCATGCATTTGTCAGCGTAAGACATGAAAATGTGACCGCAGCGCATGCTTGGTCGAGAACTCGTGTTGGTAGTTCGCTGGTTTTGGCTTTCTGTACTGTTTACTACCAGCGCAAGTTTTGAATGGCTGCGTTCAGCAGAAAAAGCAGTTTTGCAACTGTTGTAATTCTTTAATATAAAAGCCGCTTTTTCTGCTGAACGCAGCCATTGGGGCGTTCAAGTTGACAAAGCAGCTAGCCTGCTCGCCAAGCAAATGAACATAGTTGGTTGTTACCTGTAGACCCAACCAAAAATATTCAATTGCCCGGTAAGCATGCCTAGCCGCTTTGCCGTCTTGAACTTGCTCATTGGCTGCTGCTTTTCTGTTTTTTTGTCAAGATCTGAATCCATCCTTAGGGCCCTCACACACAAAATGACATAAGCTGCATAACCACAGCATAAAACCGCTGGACCAATGAGCATTTCATGTAAATCAACATGGCGTCTTTATGTTAGATGCTTATTGGTTCAGCGGACTCATGCTATGGTGTTATGAAGTTTATGTCATTTTGTGTGTGATGGCCCTAAAGCCTGTCAAACATGAAATGCATAAAGCTGGTTCTACATTAGTCGCATCGCAGCGTCGCAAGTGTTGCGGTCCAATCAACGTCAAGCTAGCTCGACTCTGATTGGACCGCAACGCTTTGCGATGCTGCGATGCGATCAATGTAGAACCAGCTTTACAGAACATAAGCATAACATAAGGATGCGTTCCGAATTACGCATGAAGCGCTTGTGAATTCGGACCGGTTTCCTACGTGACCTATGCGTTAGTATGACGATGTTAAAAATGGACGGTCAACGAAATCTTAATAATCTTCATATAAAACTATCATTTAATAACCCAGTAAATGAGAATAAATTGAAATGGATAGAAATGAATTTATTTCGACATTTTCGAATTCGCGCTTTTGATTTTTTGAATTCATTTGAATCCATGAATACATCTGAATTTAACATGATGAATAACTCTTTCGCATTTTAATTTATTTCAATAAAAAAATAATATATAATTCGGAGATGAATACATCCAAATTCAACATGATGAATAGCTCGTTTCGTATTATAATACATTTCAATAAAAAAATATTAATATAATATAAATATGAATCATTCAAATTCAACATGATGAATAACATACTTCGTAATTTAATTCATTTCAATCAAAAAATAATATAATACAAGTACATCAATTATCCAAATTCAACATGATGAATAGCACATTTCGTATTTCTATCCATTTGATTCCAAAAATACTTATATAATATGTCGTAAATAAGTTAATCCTGAATACATCCCAGTTCAAAATTATGAATAAAGTCTCGTTTGAATTCAGTTAAAAAAAATTTCAACATAGTTAATTTGTGAGCTATGAATACATCACAGCTTAAAAATTATGAAAATACACGCTTTTGTTTAAATAAAAAATGTGATAGAAATATATAAGCCCAGAATTTATATTCGAGTACAGTACATTGAATAGGAATATTCCTGTTTCGATCAAAGTGAATATAAAAATACTGTTCTATTTATAAAGAAAAAATTATAAATGTTCATGAACAGAAACGAATTTATGCTCTCAGATATCAATTCATCTCGATTCATTTTAATCTAGCTGCGGGTTCTAAAGCGCGAACTTGGATAAATTAAAATGAATTGCAATTTTTAATTTATTTCAATCCATTCTCGTTTACTGAGAACAATAAATATATGAACATTTCGACCTTATATTGAATCATCATCAGTATGTGTACAATCAAAGTTGAAATTTTAAACAATAAACTTCTATAGAACACAATAATTCTGTAACACTTACGCTTTCATATGACACTGTATACTGCTCGAATTAAATTCGTGAATTTTAGTGGAATCCTTCAATTATACACTGACTCCTATCTTCTTTAGAATCATAACTGTAAATTGACCGAATGCTATTTTGTTGAAACGATCACATTGATAGCCGTAATTATTTTATCTGTACTATCGTCACGATTATGAAATGTTCATATAAATTTATTGTGCAAAAATATTAGACCATGAAAGTTTATTATTTAAAATTTCAACTTCGATCGTACACATACTGCGCAGATAATGACCTAATGTAAAGTTGAAACGTTTATATACATATTTATTATGTTGTTAAATGATAGTTCTATATAAAAATTTATCACATTAAAAACCAGTGTAGGCTTTAATGTTCCTTTCATTAATTATATGATTTATTCTAAAAGCCATTCTTCTTTATTCTTTTTTATTCAAATATAAAGTCACGACTTTGTTTCTTTCTTCTTTATTAACATCGGGAATTCAAATAATAAGTCTTGATTCATTCGTTTTGTTCCAAAATTTTTTCAGTGTGCAGTCGGTGCAATCTGAGCGCGTTCTGAATTATCCAGTGTTAGTAACCTAGAAACAGTGGCCGATCGTACCAGGGCCGTAAAATTATCGTATTTAACCCAAAATTATCGTACATACATCGCACGCGTGCGCGCGAACAAAATTTAAATACGAAATATGTAAGATTTTAATCCGTAATTAAGACGATCAGAGAAATAACAATTTTATTTATTACTTAACGTTGAAGTGACTTAGGCTGAAATCAGCTTCCGAAATAGATCAAAAATTTCTCGATCAATTCTCAACCAATTTCGCTGAAATTACCCATTCGGCACTTTAGAAGCCCCTTAATACACAATCATTGAAACAATAACCGATATTTTTTATTGATTGCAAGAGCTTAAACATCCTATAAAATAAATTGTATTTCTATAATATCCAGGTTAAAAATACAAATTGAAAAGTGATTATTTTAGTATATTTAAAACAAACGTTAAAAGAAAGAAACGGTACAAATGTGGCTTTTTACATATGTTGACAATATAAGTTTACTTGTACTGTCAATATCACAAAACAATTTTTTATGTATGTAGTACATATGTATATTTTACAACAGTTGCAAAGCTGCTTTTTCTGCTGAACGCAGCCATTGGTATATTCCATTAGAACTAAAAATATAGACCAAGCAGATACAAGAGCTTACTGAGCATTCAGTGAGCGGTCGTGGTACTGAATGCACTCAATGGCTGCGTTCAGCAGAACGTTTGTTTTGCAACTGTTGGAAGTTTCCTTCGCGCTGATTGGATCATACTTTTAGATCTAGAAGAATGGTCCTATCTCAGCAGACAATCATGAAACGGTTGCAAAACTGTTGAGTCTGCTGAACGCAGCCTATGTCGATATACTGCCTACTCTGTTGATAATATGTATATAAAATATAAAATTAAGAGAGAAGTAGCAAATTTTGCAGAAATACAAAATTATCGTATTTTAGGCGTACGATAATGAAGTGCTATCGTACATCGTACATATAAGTAAAATTATCGTATGTGTACGATAATTATCGTACGGTTACTAACACTGGAATTATCCAACAAACGCATAGACTGCATCAACGTATCGAACGCTTTCACTGCCTCAAGTCGAAAGAGAAGCAGTTAAAGCGCTGGGAGGAGTGCTAAGAATTCAATTGCCTAGTTTACATCGTGCACTTGATACGGGGAGCTTTCCAACAAGCAACACTGTGCGACGTAGCGATCACCTCATCCTTGTTTAACATTGGCGAATAACAAGAATGCAACGATTCACCGTGTCACACCGTGTCACTCTGTGTCTCATGTTGGAAAGCTCTCACGGGTACTAACTAGTAACTTTCTATTATCTTAATTTCGGCGAAACGTGTAAACATATACATGATATGTGTATTTAATTAATCATTTTGATGCATATTGTACCAATTTAGTACATCATTCTTTAAATACATTGCTGAAATTAAAATAATATAATAAAAAGTTACTAGTTAATACGCGTATCAAGTGCTCAGTGTAAAAGGGGTCAATACGGTTAGTATTGTACAATCTGGGGATTCGTAACACTCTTGAAACGCTTTTGAAGCGTGCAATAGCTAATTCGGAACGACTTTCTATGCAGTCTACGCGCTTCATGCGTAATTCGAAACACACCCTAAGGCCGGTATTCATAGTCGGTTCTTATTTCAAGACCGTCTTAAATAATGTCTTAATACGTTAATGCAGCTCTCTTATTGGTTTGTGACACCTCAAGGCTGAACTTGAGACGATCTTGAAAATAAGAACTGACTATGAATACTGATTTAAGACTGCTGGATCAATGAGCATCCAGCATAATGTCGCCATATTGATTTACATAAGATGCTCATTGGTTCAGCGGCCTTATGTTATGCTTATGCTGTGTTATAGCATTTTATGTGTGACAGGCTTTAGTCGATACGACAAATATCTTAATCTCTAAAGTTCCAACATTTAATGCTTAATTACTTGTTTTACAAGGCAGATCGCTGAGTTTTTCTGCCAGATTATTTTGTTTTTGAGTAAAAATATGTCGAATGAGTACATTTTTATTAAAATTTGAAGTAAAGAGAATATTCTCTCTCATTCTCTCATTTCTCTCTCTCTCTCTCTCTCTCTCTCTCTCTCTCTCTCTAAATAACTACCACAAAATCTAATTATTAATAGACTCTTAGAATTCAAACAATGAATTATAATTACAGGTAAATGAAAATAAATAACTAATAAATGTATATATGAATCAGTTACTTGACATACCATGGATCATCATCCGGTTCCCAACCATCGAGTTGCTTGCTACAAATGAAACATTCAACCAAGTCTGGCTCATTGCTGTCCCCAACAACATAAAATCCAGCGGCAGCCATGCGTTCAGCATTGCATTTGTCGGATTTGTTGAAGGGCCAGCTGTCATATGTTGTCCTTCTGCTTTGTTTCCAGAAGTAGGAAGTAGCTTCCCTGAAAACAAGAGATGAGAAATGAAACAATAACCTAGCTTGCAATCCCGTTTCGGAAATCTATTTAAAAACTTGTACCGTCTGCGAATCTTTAATATGCAACATTTAATCATTTCGATACTGTCAATTAATACTTACGGTAATTCCATTATCATCTCGTTTTCTCGTAACATCAATTTCTTAGCCAACGTGATAACGGACTGAATGGGATAACGATCTGAATCATGGGCATGGGCACAGACGAGATACTATTAAAGACCGACATTCTTAAGGCTATGGCACACACCTTCCGTAACAGTAATCATAAGACGTACCGTAAGAATCAGCCAATCACAGTAGAGAATTCTTTTGAACTTTTAATTTTAATTGGCTGATTCTTACGGTACGTCTTATAGTTACTGTTATGAAAACATGTGTGCCATGGCCTTTATGGGTGTTCGCGTCCTTGTTAATATCACCGACGAGATACTATTAAAGACCGTCAATCCTGGGCAAATTTTCGGCGATATAAAAAGGACCCCAAGGGCCCGGAGGTAATCGAAGAATGCTGACATTATCGACAATTGATATAAATTTGCTATTATTAACATAAATATTTGATTAATACATTATTAAATTCATGATATTTTATGACATAAATGCTCTATAAATAGATATGCATATTTGTAAAGCTATAATATCCTATATATTGCCGAAAAATTACAATTTTTTTCTCTGCAGTTATTATCTCTGTTGATAATCGAACTTTAACGATACACTGAAATCACAATTTTAAAGAAAAATCAAGTATTATTGAGTTTTAAATGCACGTACACCGATAAACACGTCTACTAAACTAATAAATCATAAAATTAGTACAATATTATCAATTTTTTTACTCTTAATTACTTCAATATTAACAAGGACGCGAACTCCCATAAGGATGTCGGTCTTTAATAATATCTCGTCGGTGTTAATATTGAAGTGATTAAAGAGTAAAAAAAACTGATAATAATGTAATAATTTTATAATTTATTTATTAGTTTAGTAGATGTGTTTATCGGTGTATATGTATTTAAAACTCAATAATACTCGATTTTTCTTTAAAATTGTGATTTCAGTGTTATTGTCAAAGTTTTATTATCAACAGAGATGATAATTACAGAGAAAAATTGTAATTTTTATTTAAGATATAGGCTATAGGATATTATAACTTTACAAGTATGCATATTTATTTATAGAGCATTTATGTAATAAAAAATCATGAATTTAATAATTATTAACCAAAAATATTTGTTAATAGTAGCAAATATATATCAATTGTCGATAATGTCAGCGTTCTTCAATTACTTCCGGGCCTTTGGAGCCCTTTTTATACCGCCGAAAATTTGCCTGGGGTGACGGTTTTTAATAGTATCTCGTCGGTAGCATGGGTTACTTCACAAATATAATAGAGTAGTAAGCTTTAAACCTTAAGAAATTGACAAATCATAGTTGATTATTTTTCTCACACTCGACTGTGATTGATCAATTTCTTAAGGCTTAAGAAGATGCTGGAGCCGCCTGTATTACCGATAAAACTAGCGTTTTTAATGTTTTTGTTCCTGTCGAATTTCTTCATAATGGTTTCACAGAATAAAAATTCCTTTTCCACGATTAAAATATACATACTAATGTATTTGTCGCTGGTGTATTTTGTGTTCAAAGCTGGAAAAAATAAAAAATTACAGATTTCTTTATCCATTTTTATCTCAGTATGGCGACCAACGCTGAAGGTAAAATGAATAAAGAAATTTGTATTTTTTAATTTTTTTTTAGCTTTGAACACAAAATACACTAGCGACAAATACATTAGCGTGTACATTTTAATCGGGAAAAAGAAATTTTTATTCTGTGAAACCATTATGAACAAATTCGACAGGAACAAAAACATCAAAAACGCTAGTTTTATCGGTAATACAGGCGGCTCCAGCATCCCCTTAAGGCTTACTACTCTGTATTCGAAATTCTATCTGCAGTCCGGATCTACAATAGGTCTTTTAAGCCTTAAGCCATAAGAAATTGACCAATTACAGTCGAATTCGAGGAGAATAATCAACTATGATTCATCCATTTTTTATGGCTGAAGACTTATAAATCTATTGTAGATTCAGGATAAACCAGGCATAGGTCAGCTTTCTGCTAAGGCCCTTAGGCCATAAAAGTATAAATGCTCCTTAAATCACAGATGTACAATCTTTTTACACCTTGCTAAATATCTGCATGCAATCATTTACTTTCTCGATATAAAATATTATGTGTAACAGCATATTGTCCGTATAATATAATGAATATGCATTAATATATTTGGTTATCAGAATGATGACAGTAATTATAACTGATGAAGTATTACGAATTTTTTCGATAACATAATTCAAGAGGTAACAAAACATTTCAGAAGGCAACATAAACAATCATATCAAAAGATAAAAACTTAATATTTTTATTTGTTTGTTTTTTTGCTACTTGATCGAAATGTGCTAAACACAGTTTTTACAAGACATTGCTCTAATAAGGGACATATATCCTTGTGGGCCTTGCTCAAAAGACCCATGGAATGCTCCATGGTATGCATATTGATGCTGCCAATCACAAACATTTCAGAAATTTGTCCGTGCTGTGGAAGAGCAGCTTGTACGACAATTCCGTGATCATTTGTCATATCTGATGCAGCTTTTGTGGAACAAAAAGTTTCTTCTATATCTGTTGGATCTACTAAATATGTTCCATTGCATATGCCCTATTAAGAACAGTATATAATTGCAATCATATATTATTGTTACTTGGTTAAAATTCTCAGTTGTTTACTTACAATAGTAGATGCAATAACTAAACCAAACATTGGCACTCCAGCATTTGCCAAAGCTAAACTAGCTGCCATTATCGCCGCAGCCAATGCAGATCCTCCATTATCAAGGACTGTTGCATAGACATCGACTTGGAAATTAGGAAATTCTTGCTAAAATTAAAACATATAAAGGCAACAATTGATAAATAAGATTTTTACATATTTTTAAAACTGTACAAACTATTGGTTTCACAGTGTTTCTTTATACATTGTCAGGAAAATTTCCAATGAAAAAAAAGATGAGAAGTTATGTACCAGACACACTGCTGGTTCTAAAGCTCTTCGCAATATCAAGCTATACTCCTTTTCCTCCGCATCTTGCTGATGCAATTTCCGTTTGCGATGAGAGAAGGATGCAAATTTGAATTCGCAAAATAGTTCCCCTTGCATGCAGAAACCAGTTTTGTTCGGTATCTCTCTAGGATCAAAAACTGAACAGATGACCTTGGTGTCACCCATTTCGATGTATGCAGAACCTTTTGCCTGACTAACAATGCCTGTTTTTAAAACTATACAAAAAAGTTATTTTATACGTACTCCTTATAAGATATACTGAAAAATCTAATTCTTAATGGCAACTGCAATACTTGATTAATTCAACTGACAGAATTTATTAACATTTGCAACTAATTCATTGCTTAACTTGATCGTTGTTTCTATGTGTTCAACAAAAAAATGAATAACTTTATTCAAACTGATAAAATACTACAAAATATTTCTTGATAAGCAATTGTTAAGTTATTCAGACTTCAAAGTCAACTTAATTGTACGTGAGAACATGTGACACAATCTCAATACCCTTACATATATTTCTAAGTTCGTTGTCTGAGCGATCGTCGTGCCTTTTCAGAACATTACGTTGTATTCCATTGTCTTTCGTTTCGGAGTACGTATAAATATCATACGATGTAGACGCGTCTGGCCCGTTAATACGTTTCTGGTCAACCGGCATTCTTTTCCTTTGTTCTTCTTCTCATTTGTTTTGTTAAAAAATTCTCTCAAAAGTCAGTGTCGCCCCTGTCACCAACTCGCTTTGAGAACGAATCTCTAATGCAGGGTCTACAATAGAAGTCGTTGCGGTCGTAGGGTCTTAAGGCCGCAGCACAGACTCTTGCATAACGCATAACGCATAGTGCATAAGCGAATCAACTAATCAGAATCTTTCCTTTCCTTCCATTCCATGGAAAAGAAGAATTTCGATTGATCGATTTCCTTAAGTCGTAGAAAATTGACCAATCACAGTTGATTATTCTTCACACTACGCATTGGAGACTGAGGATTGCGAATTGAGAATTATGCGGGGTCTACAATAGAAGTCGTAGCGGTCGTAGGGTCTTAAGTCGTAGAAAATTGACCAATCACAGTTGATTATTCTTCTCATATTCGACTGATTGGTCAATTTTCTACGACTTAAGACC